ATTTTAAATAATTATTTGTTTCTTTTTAATGTTTTCATTTTTGTTGCTCATTTGAATCAGGTCTCAACCTCAGAACTATTGACACTTTGTCCTGGATAATGCTTTATATTGGGGGACTCTCCTGTGCATTGTAGGATGTTTAACAGAATCCCTGGCCTTATCCTGTGCTAGTTGTGACAATTAAAAATGTCTTCTGATATTGTCAAGTGTTCTTGAATGGGATGGGGGATGGAACAAAAGTGCTCCCAGTGGAAAACCACCAATTTAGACTGCTCAGATAAGTTTTTTGATCCTAAAAAAATAATTTACAGTATTTTACTGTTGAGATAGAGAGGAAATGGTGTATGTTGAGATCAGGCTTTATTTAAAGATATATTGCCACTAGTCCTTTATAAGTTACCTCTTTCTAATTTATAGTTATATATCCACTACGTATATTGTTTTTCTCCTTTTGTTGGGGAGATTGTTTCTTCTCTTGATTTGATTAAAAAAAAACACGTGTACAGTTTTCCCTTATTATGTAAATTAGTGTTAATAATTTTGGAAATGCTCTATATATTTATTTCATTATTTTTAGCTTACCTAGAAAATGAAGACAAATTGAATAAGAAGTTAATTTGAAATAGTTAACAGTGAGCTAATCTTTATATTTTAAACTGTGCTTTTTACTTGCCACTAGATGGACCTACTTTCATAATGAACTGAGGAAAAAAGAATTCTTTTTTAAAATCCTCAATTGAGGATGTTTTCATTGACTTGTAGAGATAGATAGGAAGAGATAGAGAAATATCAGTGTGAGAGAGAAACATCCGCCAATTGCCTCCCCAACATGCCTGACTAGGAAATTGAACCTGCAACCTTTTGTTGCATGGGACAATGCTCCAAGCAACTGAGCAACCCAGCCAGGGCTAAAATCTTTTTAACATTGAAGACATATCAGACTAAGCTTATAGCATACTCAAATAATGGAATTATTTTACATTAAATGCATAATCTTTCTTTTTTTGGGGTAGAGATTTGTCAGTAACACTAAAACTTTATATGTATTTTCACAATAAAGAATATTAAAAGAGCAATTGTATTTTCTTAAATTATATAGTCACATGACTTAATCATTTAATTGGCAATTATTCTTATATTTCCTGTTCATAAAAAAATATTTAGTCTTGCTTGAGTAAAAGTTAGGTACAAAAACTAGTGGTTTAGGTGAGAACATACCTCAAATTAGAATGTTTGCTGCTTGCAGGGACCAGTTTGGCTCAGTGGATAGAACGTTGGCCTGCAGACTGAAAGGTCCCGGGTTTGAGTCCGGTTGGTTGGTTGCGGGCACATCCCCAGTAGGGGGTGTGCAAGAGGCAGCTGATCGATGATTCTATCTCATCGATGATTCTCTCTCATCGATGTTTCTAACTTTCTATTCCTTTCTCTTCATCTCTGTGAAAAATCAATAAAATATATTAAAAAAATGTTTGCTGCTTAAACTGGTCTGAAATATAAAGCAGAAGGGAAATTTACATGTTGGGTTAAGATACATATTGAATAAAAGTCTTTTTACAGCTAATGTTATTGTAACTTTTTTGAATTCCCCTCTCTTACAAAGCAGTGGAGGATGATGGAATTTATAGAATTTCATTATTGCCATTTACTTCTAAGAGGGTGCTTTTTCTATTCAGGGCTGATCTCTTTATTTTTTTCCTTCAGAAACTTCATTTTAGTTATGACCTTGTTCTCTATTTTGTCAACCTTTTTAACATAACTAGGTCCTTTCAGCTTGTAAACATATTAAAACCTCTCATATTAAACTAGAGGGCAGGTGCATGAAAATTCGCACACTGGGGGTGGGTTCCTCAGCCCAGTTTGCCCCTCACAGTCTGGGAGCCCTCAGGGGATTTCCTACTGATGGCTTAGGCCCACAGTCTGGCCTCCCTCTTAGGAGGCGACTGGGCTAAACAGAAGGCGCTGCCCCCATCATTCCGCTGCCTGCCCTTGGCCCTAGGCCCTCGCAGCTGCTGTGGCTTTGTCTGGAAGGACATTCGGTTGTTCAGTCTAATTAGCATATTATGCTTTTATTATTATAGATATGCCATTTTTGCAAAAAAGCCTCCCAATCTCCCCAAACTATACCTTTCTTTCTGTTGTATATTTCTCCTCCTGACTTTTTGAAGGATTGATACTTAAATTTATACTTAATTTTCTTGCAATCTGGAGTCCTGCCTCTGCACTCTTTTTTTTTTTAAAAAAAATATATTTTATTGATTTTTAACAGAGAGGAAGGGAGAGAGATAGAGAGCTAGAAATGTCGATGAGAGAGAAACATCGACCAGCTGCCTCTTGCACACCCCCTACTGGGGATGTGTCCGCAACCAAGGTACATGCCCTTGACCAAAATGGAACCTGGGACCTTTGAATCCACAGACCGACGCTCTACCACTAAACCAAACCGACTTCGGCCCGTTTCTTTCACTCTTAAATCACGACTTTGAGTTCTAAGCATTATGTGACATTTAAACCACCAAGCTCTAATGTCTTGAATCTTCCTTTTTTCTTTGTTTTCTGACACCATAACAGTTAAATTTTGGTCTTTGTTTATGGTTCCTCCCCACCCCACACTTATTCTTGATAGGTTGGTTTTCCTCATATTTAATCCTTAATTTTCTTCTCTTATACATCTTCTTAGCAATCTTATCCACACCATAGACCTCTTCATAGTTGACTTATATATTGTTTATTTTTGAATGTACAGCTCTAACCAGACCTCTCTGTGAAGCAATTTATTATTATTTACAAATATTCCTTAGTCCCATATCAACCTTAACCACAGCATGCCCAACTGTATGTACTTACTCATTGCCTTGGCTGTAGGATGATGTAAACTCCTGTACTTCCTAACCTAGTAAATGGTACCACTGCCCAATTAGTCACCCAAGTCAGGAAACAAAGACTCCTTTAAAATCTTTTCTCTCAATATTGACAGTCATTTATCCCTCAGAATGCAGATTCTACCTTAAATGTGTCTTCAGTCTGCCTTTCCTCCTTATTCATATCACTATGACCTTTGTAACTCAGACCTTGTCTCACACATTAACTACTTAGATGGCTTCCTTATTGGTTTTCTTCATTGTTGCTTTCTCTATATCTTCTGTTGAGCTACCATTGGAGTGGATTATCTGAAACTTGATAATTTTATTGCCATGCTAAAAATTCTTTAATATTGCCCCATTGCCCTTATTATTTCTTTAGTATAATGCAAAAATTTCTTCAGGATTTTGATCCTCTTGCTGTCTCCAACTGCATTTGGGATTACTTTCTTATCCTATTCCATGCTCTAGCCATTCTCATTCATTTAATGTTTGCTGTATGTGCTAATTTGATTCATAAATTTACATTTGTACAAATTTCTCCTATTGTCTTCAGTTTCTTTGTATCCTTGTTTATTGAGCATTGTTTATTGACTATCTTTTTAAAAATTTCTCATTCAAGGATATGTTTTCATTGATTTTTAGAAAGAGGAAGAGAGAAAGGACAATAGATATGAGAGAAACAGACCGATTGTCTCCTGTATGGGTCCTGACCAAGAATTAAACCAGGAATCTCTTGGTGTACAGGATGACATTCCAACCAACTGAGCTACCCCACCAGGGCCATTGACTAAGTCACAGGATGCTTTGTATACATGGAGAGTAGTTTGTAAAAGGTAACATTAAAAAGAAAGACATAGCCGAAACCGGTTTGGCTCAGTGGGTAGAGCGTTGGCCTGTGGACTCAAGAGTCCTGGGTTCGATTTTGGTCAAGGGCATGTACCTTGGTTGCGGACACATCCCCGGTAGGGGGCACATCCCCAGTAGAGGGTGAGCAAGAGGTAGCTGATCGATATTTCTCTCTCATAGATGTTTCTGACTCTATTCCTCTCCCTTCCTCTCTGTAAAAAAAAAAAAAAAAATCAATAAAATATATTAAAAAAAAAGAAAAGAAAAAAAAAGAAAGACATAACTTGGTTGTTGTGACTTGGTGATTGAGCATCGATCTATGAACCAGAAAGTCACAATTTGACTCCTGGTCAGGGCACATGCCCTGGTTGCAGGTTTGATACCCAGTAGGGGGTGTACAGGAGGCAACCAATCAATGATTATTTCTTACCATCCTATCTCTTTCTTCCTCTCCCTTCCTCTCTGAAATCAATAAAAATATATTTTAAAAAATGGAAGACATAATCTTAAATGTCTGGATAGCCTACCATTAAACAGAAATTATAGGAATGCCTTTATTTTGAGGTTTGCAGGAGAGTGAGTTAACCCTGGCATAAAGTTGTAATGTTGGTAACACCCATCAGTATTATTACACTTTCAAAGTAGTTAAAATGATTTAAAAATGTAATTATTTTTAGAATTTATGAAGCTAATTTTCAGAACATAGAGGTAAGATTACTGATCTCAAATATGTCCTGAAAAAAGGCTTAAGGAAAAGAAAACATGTTTTTTCTCATGTTTTCTTCTAAAAGTTTTCTTGAAAGATTATAAAGTAATATAAAAATATAGTCAGATGGTTTCTAGAAAACTTCAAAGTAGTTTTATTTTTAGTGTATATCTATAGTTATTTTCTCTATTCAGTTAGGTATGTGTGTGTGTGTGTGTGTGTGTGTGTGTGTGTGTGTGTGTGTCTGTCCCCTTACAGTTCTGTGCTTGATGAAAATACCTCCTTATTTAAAATGCTTACAATTTTTGGTGTTAAGAGAAGTTTTTAGATCTTAGAGATAATTTGCAACTAATCAATACCTTATAATAAATCTATATATAACACTTAAACTTCTAGCTAGTGTAATAAATTAGATTCTAAGCAACTTCAACAGACAAGCTAGTAATAATTATAAGAGAGGGCTGAGTTTTTAAAAATGTAGTTATTTTACAAAAATTGAAATGTTTTGATTGCAGATTGAAGTATAAAAGTAAAATGTGGTCTCTGAAGTGATTTTAATTTTAAAACAATGCTACTTTATTTTCTAGGTGTTCATTGTACCCATGGCTTCAATCGTACTGGTTTTCTCATATGTGCCTTTTTGGTGGAGAAAATGGATTGGAGGTATATGTTTCTTGTAATATATATGGGAGGAGACATATTTAGTAATGGATAAAAAAATTTCATTGATTTAAAAAATACGTTATTTATTGATATTTTTAGAGAGAAAGGAAAGGAGAGGGAGAGAGAATTAGAAACATTGAAAAGCAACATCAGTCGGCTACCTCCTGCATGCTCCCTACTAGGGGTTGAGCCTGCAACCTGGGCATGTACCCTGACCAGGAATGGAACCAGCAACCTCTTGGTGCATGGAACATTGCTCAGCCAACTGAGCCACACTGACTGGGCTCATTTTTTTTTTTTTTTTTTTTTTTTTTTTTAGCACTTTATATTGCCAAATTTTTGGTGAAGTCATGATTAATATAATTTGAATTTGTTTTCATTTTAGTTCAGTGAATCTTTAGAATACCATTCATTGGTGTTTTTCTACTAAACAGCACTTTAGTTGAGTGCTCATGGACCCCATATTCTATGTATTTTCTTTTCTAGTTGTTTTCTCTTATGAGAAAGAAATTCTTCCAATATTTGTGTTCATATTCATTTTTGGAAGTTCTTGCTGTTTTTTTTGTTTTTTGTTTTTAATAAATTTTAATAGTACCTTTTTATAGCTATTAAGTACTAGGATACACTTATAAGATTATGTAGAGAAGTTATTTTTGGGACAGTGTTACTTTATTAAACCAGCCAACAAGTTTTTATTGAGCACCCGTTATTAGTGAAATACCTTTTAAAATTGTGAGAAATTAGAACTTTTAGTTACTCAAAAATTTCTGAGAGATGGGATATTAACAACTGCATTTTCTCATTTACTGATTAAGGGTTATTATTTTGTTTATAAAGTCTTCCACACAGTAGGCCCTTCACTGAATATTATCAGCAGACGTACACGTCAGATTGTCTATTTTATTTCCCTGTCATGCTTCTTTAGTATTTTCTTCTGCATGCACTTGTAGGGCAGCCTTTCTGGTCTTTCAGATGTTCTACACTAGCGATCATCTCATGACACTCAAACTAATGACTAAAATTCTGCAGCACATCAAAAAATACATTTTTTGCCCTTCTGAGAAAAAGACAGGAATAATTTTGAATCATTCACGTTGAATGGCTATTGTTGTGTTGGCTGTTGTCACTTTTTAAAATTTAATAATCCAAGCGAAAAGATATAATTGTCCTGACTAAATAGGTATTTGCATGTTTTAAAAATTTTTACGGCACATGGGTTTAAAATTACTACTCTACACCAGAATCTTGTCAGATTCAGCCTATGCTTAACCTTTCTCTGATGACCCATGCTCGGATTACCTGGGTTTGCTGAAAGTTCCTGAAAAACCAGCATACTTTTTACTTTTATTGATACTGCTATTCAAATTTCTTAGACATTTTTCCTTAAGAGTCAGGAAACTTCAGTCAGAGACCTCAATCTTTAAAGCTTTGTTTAAATTCTTCACAGACTTGGTGCAGGCCTTTTCTATACACTCAATGCAATTTACTTCTAGAGTTAGGAATTATTTATGTACCTTATGTTCAGACTGTTTCAGAACGAATTGTCCCATAATAGATTGAGTGCCTTAAGAGTGGGACTGATTTGTCCATTATAAATCGGTGGTGCCTTAAATATAATAAACTAGAAATTTATGCAAGAGTAGGTCTTCCTACTCCCGGCTGCCATCACCAGCTTCCATCTGGCACCTGGGACCCAGGCTTCCCTCGCAGCCCCGGGAAGGTCTTCTGAAGGATATCCGGAAGGATGCCTGGTCTAATTAGCATGGTATGGTCTTATTGTTATAGGTAGGTTTTGAAAAATCTGCATAAGTGGAGAATAATGAGGAAATTGCATGGTGTTTGTTTTCCATAGTATTGAAGCAGCAGTTGCCACTTTTGCTCAAGCGAGACCACCAGGAATTTATAAGGGTGATTATTTGAAAGAACTTTTTCGTCGCTATGGGGATATAGAAGAAGCACCAGCCCCACCTGTATTGCCAGATTGGTGTTTTGAGGATGAAGAAGAGGAAGATGAGGAAGATGATGTAAAGAAGGAACCAGAACCTGGGTCAAGTGCCTCCTTTGGCAAGAGGAGAAAAGAACGGTTAAAACTGGTAATGAATAAAAATATTATAGTCTTTACCTTTTTCTTTGTCAGATTTATGAGAATCTTCATGAGATTTATGAAAATAGAATGTTGACTCTGCTTCTTTTACTATATATGAGAGTTTATTTTATTCTAGTTATTTATAAAGATTCTTGATAGCCATGACTCTGCCTTTCATATAAGGAAAGTTTGTTACATAAATTCATTCTGTTTTTGTTTCTTAGGTAAACCAAAGATCTCTTACACATTAGACTGAGAATTTACTATTTCTTTGCAAAGTATTATGAAATTCCAACTAAATATCTAGTGAAAATTTACTAATGCTTTATAAAATTATCTCTCAGTCTAATCTTCGTAAATATATTTGAACTCTAATAAAACATTTTCCTTTTATTTTAAGGGTGCTATTTTCTTGGAAGGTATAACGGTTAAAGGTGTAACTCAAGTAACAACTCAACCGAAGTTAGGAGAAGTACAGCAGAAATGTCGTCAATTCTGTGGCTGGGAAGGGTAATACATATTTTACTGTTTTAAATAAAATTTATTACTTTACAACACTTACCATTGAAGCAAACATTAACTTAGTAGATTTGCTTCTTGAAATTTGTATGTTTATATAGACTGCTTACAAAAATTTAAATTTTTCTCAAGACAAGCAGTGTAATAGACAGTTCAGTCAAAAATTAGTTGACTCACATGTTTTCCTAAAGGATTAGAAAGTTACTATTGTCACTCTCTAGTATAAAATGTTTTTGTCTTTTTTTAGTATAAAATGTTTTGTATGTTTGAATCTACTATTGCAGATTAATGTTTGGGTTGCCCTTATTGTATTAAGGGAGAAGAGATAAAAATTGACTGTTCCTGGGAGAATCAGCTTTAAATATGTTCTACCCCCTACCATGACTTGAAATTACTTTATTTTATTTTTTAATTTAATAAATCTTTATTGTTCAGATTATTACAATTGTTTCTCTTTTTCCCCCCCATAGCTCCCCTCCACCTGGTTTCCACCCCACCCTCTGCCTTTACCCTCCCCCCCCTACTGTTCTCATCCATAGGTGTACACTTTTTGTCCAGTCATTTCCTGAACCTCCCACACCCTTTTCCCCCTGAGAATTGTCAGTCCACTCCCTTTCTATGCCCCTGATTCTTATTATATTCACCAGTTTATTCTGTTCATAAGGTTTTTTATTCACTTGATTTTTAGATTCACTTATGATAGATAATGTATTTGTTGTTCATAAATTTTATCTTATTTTCTTCTTCTTCTTAAAGAATACCTTTCAGCATTTCATATAATACTGGTTTGGTGGTGATGAATTCCTTTAGCTATTTCTTATCTATGAAGCTCTTTATCTCACCTTCAATTCTGAATGATAGCTTTGCTGGGTATAGTAATCTTAGTTGTAGGTTCTTGCTATTCATCACTTTGAATATTTCTTGTCACTCCCTTTGGCCTGCATAGTTTCTGTTGAGAAATCAGCTGACAGTCATATGGATGCTCTTTTGTAGGTAATTAACTATTTTTCTCTTTTGATTTTAATATTCTCTCTTTGTCTTTTGCTCTTGGCATTTTAATTATGATATGTCTTGGTGTGGTTCTCTTTGGTTCCTTTTATTTGGGGTTCTGTGCACTTCCTGGACTTGTAGATCTATTTTTTTCACCAAGTAGGGGAAGTTTTCAGTCATTATTTCTTCAAATAGGTTTTCAGTATCTTACTGTCCTTCTGGCACCCCCATAATTTGGATGTTGGTATGCTTGAAGTTGTCCCAGAGGCTCCTTACACTATCTTTTTATTTTTATTTTTATATTTTATTGATTTGGTACAGAAAGGAAGGGAGAGAGATAGAGAGTTAGAAACATCGATGGGAGAGGGTTATCGATCAGCTGCCTCTTGCACACCCCCTACTGGGGACACGCCCGCAACCAAGGTACATGCCCTTGACCGGAATCGAACCAGGGACCCTTCAGTCCCCAAGCCAACGCTCTATCCATTGAGCCAAACCGGTCTCGGCTCCTTACACTATCTTCATATTTTTGGATTCTTTTTTTTCTTTTTGCTTTCAGGATGAATGTGTTTTGCTTCTTTGTATTTCAAATCTTTGACTTGATTCCTGTGTTCCTCTAGTCTGCTGTTACGTCTCTGTACAATATTTTTTATTTCAGTCAGTCTATGCTCAATATCTAGTTGGTCCTTTTTCATATCCTTGAGGGTCTCGCTAAATTTAATGGCCTTTTCTAGGAAATTCTTGAAAAACCTTATAACCGTGGTTTCGAACTCTATATCCAGTCGTTTGTTTTCCTTCATTTCTTTCATTTGTGATCTGTTTCTTTGCCTCGCATTTAGGCTGCTTCCCTGAGTTGGTGGAGTAGGTTTGTGTGGTAGGTGTCCTATAGGGCACAGTGGCTCAGCCTCCCCAGTTACCTGAGGTGGACACCCTTGGTGCACCCCTTTGTGGACTGTGTGTACAGCCTTGTAGTTAAGTCTTGATTATTGTTGGTATCACTGGGAGGAATTGATCTCCAGGTCAATTGGCTGTGAGGATCAGCTGTGTCTACGCTGGGAGAACTTCTGTGCTGGAGATACCCTTATGGGACAAGACTTGTAAAATTGCAAAAGCCTCTATGCTCAGCTTGGATGGGGTGGCGTTTCAGGGCTAAGCCAACAGCCTTGGCTTCCCGTCAGCCCTGTCTTATGAGGCCCTGGGTCTCAGTGTCCCTTTGTAATCATTGCAAACATCTCTGAGAGAAAGCTGCCCTCGAGTTTTGCCTGCTGCCAGACAGTACAGTGTTTTCCCCTGAAGGAGTCTGGGTTCCCAGAAACTTGCCTGGAACTGGAGTTTAGCGTAGTCAGGAGCTTTTGTCTCCCTCCCACTTTAGAAAGCCAGGTGCGGCCTGTTCGGTTTGGCTCAGTGGATAGAGCCTGCAGACTGAAAGGTCTCAGGTTCGATTCTGGTCAAGGGCATGTACCTTGGTTGCGGGCACATCCCCAGTAGAGGGTGTGTAAGAGGCAGCTGATCGATGATTCTCTCATTGATGTTTCTAAATCTATCCCTCTCTCTCCCTCTCTGTAAAAAAAATCAATAAAAAAAAAATATATATATATATATATATATATTTAAAAATAGAAAGCCAGGTGCGCACTTAGCCACCCATGCACTAAGCAGTCAGTCCTCTCTGTGCGTGTGCCTCCGGACCTTCCGCAGCTCCTGAGTCTCAGTGTGCTTTCTCTTTTCCTGACAGCCCAGATTCCCCAGAATTAATCTGGTTCCCCAGAGTCTTGCCCGGGACTGGAGTTTAGTGCATTTGGGAGTTTTGTCTCCCTCCCACTTTAGAAAGCCAGCCAAGCACTTAGCCGCCTGTGCACTCAGCTGTCTGTCCTCTCCGCACGCATGCAAGTGTGCACGCGCGTCTCTGTACCTCAGCCTTTTGCAGTTCCTCTGAGTCTCAATGTGCTTTCCTCTTTTTTAAAAATATATTTTATTGATTTTTTTACAGAGAGGAAGAGAGAGGGCTAGAGAGTTAGAAACATCGATGAGAGAGAATCATCAATCAGCTGCCTCCTGCACACCCCGCACCGGGGATGTGCCCACAACCAAGGCACATGCCCTTTGACCGGAATCAAACCCGGGATCCTTCAGTTTGCAGGCCGATGCTCTATCCAAAGAGCCAAACCTGTTTCGGCTTCTCTTTCCTTCTAGTGGTAGTATTTCCACTCAGCCAGCTTTCCTGTGGTTCTGGATGGTGTCTGTTTTGTCTTTTAGTTATAGTTTTAAAATTGTTTTTTGAGGCAACAGTTTAGGTATTTACATATGCCATCGTCTTGGTTTCTCTTGAAATTATTTATCAGGTGTTTCATGGGAAAGGATTCAGGAGAGAGGGCACTACTCTTAACTCTTGCTCTCTGATCTTGGTCTGTGAACATTTCTGTTGATCGTTGATGTCTGAGGCCGAAAATTATAATACAGCTGGAAAATGCTGAATCAGGATTATCAACCTAAAAATTCCTAATATAAGTAACTTTTTGACTGGTACATATAGATTAATCACTTAAAAATAATTTTAAATAAAAGATGAGAATGATGAAGTAATATTGATTTTAGTGTTGTGTTAAACCCTTGCCAGAGTCCTTTAATCTTGATCTACATTTCTGCAGTTTTGTCACTTTGGCATCTTTTGGAGGAGAAACTTGCCAACCCAGCAGAGTTATGCCAAGCTGGCAATGTCATGATGGAACCATATGGGGTCTAGAATAATGTAGAATATCTAAAGCAAGATTAAAACTTCTTTTTGATTTAAAAGACTTGTAAACACACCTGTTTTACTATTTAGATCATGTATATTAATATTTAAAAATTAGCCCAATAGGTCTAGTTGTAGTAATTAGAGTCTTGATAACTTATGTTCTAAAATGTCAAGAAATTGATAGCCTTTTGTTAGCATTCTTGTGAAATCTAATATTTTTCCAATTGACATTAAGCTCATGATAGGGAGAACACTGTATAAATGTGTGATTCATGAGGTTGGTTTCAGACATGTAGTGCCTTCTATGGATACCAGTCATAATAATAAAATAGTCTTCTTTCAGGTCTGGATTTCCTGGAGCACAGCCTGTTTCCATGGACAAGCAAAATATTAAACTTTTGGAGCAGAATCCATATAAAGTAAGCTGGAAAGCAGATGGTACTCGGTAAGTTCTACTTCTAAAAATAGTCATACAAATAGCCCTAAAGCTTGAAGAAAATTGCTTTTTTGTTAGAGAAGGTTTGCATGCTGGGGAATGTGAATTTCTGAATTGAACAACAAAATAAGGCATGTTTCAAATTTTGCATAGTTTTTCTTTTGCCAGTATTCTTAGCTATGTAATATTCTCATTCTGCTAAATTTTTGCTTTTAGAATTCTGTTAAACATAAATCTCTACCAAATTTAAGTTTGAAAGTGTTTTTTCCCTTGATAATATTGTGCTATTTGGTATATCTTGTGTACGCTACCTTGTTTTTAATGGTTCCTGGGACCCCCAAAATTAAAAGATGTGCTCTAGCTGATTTGGCTCAGTGGATAGAGCATCAGCCAAAGGACTGAAGGGTTCTGGGCTCGTTTCTGGTCACGTCCTTCAGTTGAGGGCTTGAACCCTGGTCCGGGTTGGGGCATGTGCCAGGAGACAACCAATCAATGCTTCTCTCATATTGATGTGCCTCTCTCTTTCTCTCTCTCTCTCTCTCTCTTTTTGTCTCTCTCTCTCTCCCTCGCCCTCTCCTTCTCCCTTCCCCTCTAAAAGTCAGTGGAATAATATCCTCGGTTGAGGATAACCAAAACAAAACAAAATTAGCAGAAGTGCTGTCAGTTTATAATCTATATATTACCAGATCTTCCTGATTTATTCCATATTTTGTTGCTTTGAATAGGTTTTTCATTTTCTTTTAATCCTTGCTAATTCTTTTTGTAGTATATACACTCTTCAGGTTGTATTCTTACAACAAAGCTTAGTTTCAAATTTCATATTCCTATATTTTATATAGGAATTTCATATACTAATATTTTAATATTTTAAAATGTTATACTAATATTATTTTAAAATATTAGTATAAGTTTTGTGCTTCTTCAATAATATTTAATTTTTTCTTACTGTTTTTATAACCCATATTTTTATAGCTTTAATATCTATATGTATCTAATAAGTCTTTATTTAGCAGTTGGTTATTGATAGTTGAAAAATTATTTTTCAGATATCAATATAGGAGTTTTATTAACTTTTTCATAACAGAGAAAAATGTTTTATAATAATTAGGAATGCACATATATTTTAATTTTTCTCCCAGCTTTATTGAGGTATAATGGACATATCTTGGGTAATTTAAAGTATACAATATGTTGATTTGATATACTTATATATTGCAAAATGATTACCATCACAGCATTAGCTAACTCCTCCGCCACTTAACATGATCACCATTTCTTTTTTGTGGTGAGAAAATTTAAGATTTACTGTCTTAGCACCTGTATAATACAGTATTAGAAACTATAACCACCATGCTGTATATGAGATCACCAGAACTTATTTGTCTCATGACTGGAATTTTACCAACATCTCTCCATTTCCATCCCCCTTTCAGCCTCTGGTAGCCATCATATTAGTATCTGTTTCTATGATTTTGGCTTTTTTTGATTTCATATATAAGTGATATACCATATTTATCTATCTTATTAATATTTATTGTTAATGTCTGTCTAATTTATAAATTAACTTTTATAATATGTATGTATATAGAGGGAAAAAACATAGTACATCTGGGTTTGGTAATATTTGTGGTTTCAGACATCCACAAGGGGTCTTCGAACCTAATCCCCCCTGGATAAAGGGGGTGGTGGTGCTGTATATCATATCTTCTTTGTTCATCGGTTGATGGACATTTGGGTTGTTTTCATGTCTTTGCTATTGTGAATCATGCTGCAATAAAAAGGGGAATGTAGATATATCTTTAAGGTTCTGCTTTTATATTTTAATTTTTAGATGTTAGTTTGAAGATGATATAGATTGCATTTAATTTTTATGAGCAGTTTTTGAATGTCAAAGTGGCAGTTATGCTTTTTGTATTATCCTTTCTTCATCTACATTCCTGGCCAATTTGGTCATTGACCCAGGGTTGCTGTCTCTCTGTTACATCGATATTTTTCTCTTTCTCTGTCTTTCTCAATACCTTCTACTCTCTCTAAAAATAATGGAAAAATATCCTCAGGTGAGGACTAAAAAAAAAGATACATACGGAGATATGGAGAAGGGCAGATATAACTTGATTATAATAATAATTAATATAATATATTTCAACATGATATGCTTTCTAGTAATTATATTTTATTTTTATCAGTTGGAAATATGTCATCATATTTTCTTTGATTTCATTTGTCTTTGTTGGAAAGTCTTTCTCTTCAAGTTCATAATATTTAACTATCATTGTGATATTGAGACTTTATTCTTTTGAATATAGTTTTTGTTTTAATATTAATGCTTGATGTAGTGAGTTCAAATATGTCTTACATATATTTTTTACATATTTACATATTAGATGTTCATTTGTTCACAGTATTAACTTATTCATTTATATTTTTTATTGATCTTTTTTAGAGAAGAGGAAGGGAGAGGGAGAGATATAGAAACATCAATGAGAGACAAACATTGATTGGCTGCCTCCTGCATGCCCCCTACTGGAGGATTGAGTCTGCAACCCAGACATGTGCCCTGACCAGGAAGCAAACCAGTGACCTCTTGGGTGCATGGGTTGATGCTCAACCACTGAGACACACTGGCTGGGCTGTTCACAGTATTTTGAAGTTACTTTACAAGTGAACTATTGATAGCTTCAAAAAAACTAATATAAATGTATGATAAAAAATTCAAACAGTATAGAGAAATAAAATTAAAAATTTAAGTTTGCCTTATGTTCTTCTAGGAGTATTCATTCTACATGGATGAATCTATAAGCATGGATAGATACAATTAAAGATTCAGATATATAGAATATGAATGACTTGCCTCTTTATGCCCTCTTCCCTGGGCATATGTATTTTTGAAGAATAAGTAAAAATTAACTTCATTGCTTATTTTCAGAATGTTGAAATAATATTTTAACTTTTAGGGTTATAATTTCAGAATCTATTAAATTGGTAGTAAGGATCGGCCTAAGTTGAGTTTTGTTGAGATGTATATTTTAAATAGATATTTAGTAACAGTGTCTTTTTTTTTTTTTTTTTTTACATATATTTTTATTGATTTCAGAGAGGAAGGGAGAGGTAAAGAGATATAGAAACATCAATGATGAGAGAGAATCATTGATTGGCTGCCTCCTGCACACCCCACATTGGGGATCAAGCCTGCAATACAAGCATGTACTCTTAACCGGAATTGAACCTGGGACCCTTCAGTCTTCAGGCCAATGCTCTATCCACTGGGCCAATCCAGCTAGGGCTAATATTTCTTAACAGATGGGTTTATTACCTACTTCTTTAAGTGGAGAAAGAGTGGGGTAAAGTCTACATTATAGTCAGATTTTATAACACATCTGTTTAAGTAAGCAAGACATATTTGTATTATGCTTCTTGGAGGGAATTGTAGACAGATTTATTCCTCCTGAATTTTGGTCTGGGAATCTCTTTTGTTCATTCATCTAGAAATTATATTGAAAATTTGTTACCTCCAGCTCTATGTCAGATACTGAATGGATTAGGAATGCTGAAGACAGAATCTCCAGCTTTATGTTTTTTGTCTAATCCAGGGTTCAGCATATGTCTTCTCTAAGGGACAGATAGTAAATATTTTAGATTTTGTGGGCCAGGTGGTCTCTGTCTTAACTATTCAGTGCTGCCATTGTAATACACAAACAGCAATATCCTGCTGCTCTTATATAAACAAAAGAGCAAAACTGTGTTCTAATAAAACTTTATTTACAAAAACAGGTAGAAGGTCAGATTTGACTCTTGGGTCATAGTTTGTCAACTTATAAAATAAGACAGCTTGTCAACTTATAAAGTTAATTGAAAACATTCTCCTTAAAAGACTATCTTTACATCTCAAATGATTTTTCTTTATAAGAAAATGTAAAAGTGAGCTTAAGGTAGGAAAACATAAGCTTAATATAAGACATTTAAAAAAATACTTCAGTAAATTAAAATGTTGAAATGTTTTTTCCTCATTGATTGTAAGTTATTTTTATTTTTAAAATTTATTATTTTTTAAAATATTACTTTATTGTTTAAAGTACTACAAATAGTAGTATATATGTCTCATTTTTTCCCCCATTGACCTTCCCTCAGGCTCCCCTATGATTGTAAGTTATTGCTAATTCCTGGTGCTTTGACAAGTTTTTTTTTATAATTTAAGTAATTTACTAAATACATAAATTTAAGAGGTAAATTAAGCCTTTCCCCTCCTCTCATTAAATCATGCCCCATGCCTTCGTTATAACAGGGTGCTTGATTTATATAATGTTCAGGTAGTTAATAGCTTACTTGGATCCCTTGATATGTATCTCATTAATAATGTTTGCAGCAGATACTTATTCTAATGACTGGAGCTGAATGTTCAGACAGGAATAGGGTGGATAAGGTAATGAAACGCTAGACTAGAAAAGTCTTACATATTGAGTGGAATATTAAAGAGGTTTCAGATGTCTCTGGAATAATTTTCAGTGGAGTACAAAATCCAAACTGTGTTTTTTATGCACTTTGGAACAGAATGAGTAAATCAAATTATGATCAATTAAGTACTGCATATACTACTTTAATTTAGACTTGTTCACTTAGTTGTTTTTCAGTTCCACATGAGGGAAGAGATCAAAGCAAATATAAATTTCTATTTAGCTCTATTTTTCAAAGCAAATAGCTTCTTATGATATATAAGATAAAAACGTTGACTGAATATTGATATTAAATAAACTTACTTCCTATCTTATTTTACTGATAAATATTAATTATAGCTATAACATCATATCTAATATTTAAAAACTCACTACTGCATAAAGTTATACCTGAAAATATTTGATTTTTTTTTTAATTAGTAATAACTGTGCCTTGGATAAACCTCATTGGCTATGTATGATACTGTCACTGCTCAAAGCTGAAAAAAACATTTAATTTTTATACTGTTCTAGGGTGACTTAGAGTTTTTAATGGAGACATTTGAGGAGCCAGAATCC